TTCCAGTGTGTTGACCACCAGAATTTCCGTAACTTAATAATAATAATCCTTGCATTTGATATAGCGCTTTTCACGTCTTCTAGACATCCTAAAGCGCTTCACAGAATATACTGTAAAGTGAATTGACTGAATATTTGTGGGCGAACGCGGCAGCCAATTGCGCACAGCAATGTCCCACAAACAGTCGTGGATTGAAAATGACCAATTTATTATTGTTTTTGTTTTTTAACAGTAACTTAAGGGACACACAGGGTACCAGGAACAAAACAAGCAACTAACAGCCACACGAGTGCCATGGCATAACACACCCAGCCGAAGCAATAGTAATCCCACAAGCAATTTGCATTACCGAATCCCCATTCTCCCCGTGTCTTCCACTCTGCACCACCCACACTCTGATCTTAATAATTAATCCTTGCATTTGATATAGCGCTTTTCACGTCAGGAGGACGTCCCAAAGCGCTTCACAGAACACACTGTAAAGTGAATTGACTGTATATTTGTGGGCGAATGTGGCAGCCAATTGCGCACAGCAATGTACCACAAACAGTCGTAGATTGAAAATGACCAATTTATTATTGTTTTGGCTTTGGAGGGCTTATTATTAGGGCTCTGTGTGGAGTAAGGAAACTTGCCCAAGGTTTCGCCCTCTGCCTGGAATTGAACTCAGGTCTCTCACTTGCAAAGCGAGTGCTCTAACCACTGAGCCACAGGACTCCACAAAAGCTTCAGCTGAGAATGGTTGTTTCCAAAACAAAGTGCAGAGCTGCATCACGTGGCTGCACAAAAGCAACACTCCACAGCCAGAACGACGAAGTACACTCGTAAACAGCTCTTACACTTCTGGGAAAACAAGTACACGAGTGACGGGCCACATACATGCATTCGTTAGATAAAAGGCACGACTGGGACAGGTGTATTGCATGGAAAAATATAGCTGGTGCAGCTGCCGAACGAATTACTGATGCCACTTATTTACTGATGTAACACATCCACGACTGTTTGTGGGACGCTGTTGTGTGCAATCGGCTGCTGCACTTTACCCTCAAAATACAGTCAATACATGTACAGTGGATTCTGTGAAGTGCTTTGAGATGTCTCAAAGACGTCATAAGGCGCTACGTCAAAGGCGAGGATTTTTTATTATCATCATCGTCATCATCAGTACGGGGCAGCTATTATCATGATTATGATTATTATTATGGACCAGCTATGGGTCATGAAAACAACTGAATGAACAAACATAACTAATGTTACTTCAACATAACGGAATACACAGATCGAGTCCCCCCCCAACCCCCCCACCCCCCCCCCACACACACACACCGTTTAAAACATGTTAGCGTTTAACTTGGCAAACGCAATCCATTGACACGAATATTTGCACCAACATTAGATTGTCCTGGTTGCATGAGAACTGTAAGGTGCCCAAGTATTTAACAAAAAAAAAATTACTATTTTTGCTACCAAGGACAGCAACACCCAGCGATGTAGTGGGAGAGGCTGTGGAGCTGGTGGTGTGTTCCAACAATGAACACACGCACAAAAAGCAGCATTTTTACCAGGGCCCACGTCCCATCCAATGCAAAACAACTTGAAACGTGTCAGGATGCAGACTGTCATGGTGTTACGGATGGATGTGCTGTTTAGGGACAGCGCGGAAGAGGAGGAAAACAAACAAACCAGTGAATGGATTTTTTTTTTTTTGGGGGGGTGGGAGGGGGAGGGGATGGGATGGGATGAGAAGGAGGAGGAGCAGGAGGAGGAGGGGGGGATGGTGAGTGGGAGGTTAAAAGGTAAGATGTCTTTAAAGATAAAAGTGGAACTGGTCACTCCATCTTTGGAGATAGGGCCCTGAACTTAAACGAACTCCCAGGGATTTTATATGCATATATATGTGTAATATATATAATATATTAAATTGGTCATTTTCAATCTACGACTGTTTGTGGGACATTGCTGTGCGCAATTGGCTGCCGCGTTCGCCCACAAATATACAGTCAATTCACTTTACAGTGTGTTCTGTGAAGCGCTTTGGGACGTCCTCCTGACGTGAAAAGCGCTATATCAAATGCAAGGATTATTATTATTATTATTATTATTATTATATATATGTAACCCTCCTCCCCCCTCCCCCTTCCCCCCCCGTCTCTCACCACCGGAACAATAAAAACTGCAGGAAACGTCTTTGTTAGTTGGAAAGCAACAACACAGCAAAACCAGCAACTTGTTGCATTGAACAAAAAAAGAACACACAACACAACGCACACAACACAACACACGTTAAAACTCGTCTCTCTGAATGCGGTGTCCGCACTGCCAAAGCGATGGCAAAAGGGGGCAATACCGCCGACCAGGGTCGAAAGTCTCGACTCGGCGTTACGCGGAGCTCCGATCCCCTGTGTCCCCGAAAGCAGATCAGGACCTTCGAGCGGAAAACTCACAACCGGGAGATCACTCTGTGCGCTCTCCCGCAGCGCTGTTGGATGTGCGGTGCGCAGAGATCGTTACTTTTGCGTGTGCGGCTGTTTTCGGCCCCGAACACTTTTTTTTTAATGTTTTTTTTTAAAAAAAACACACACACACACTCGGATCTCGGGAGAATGAAACAAAAAAAAAGAGAGAGGAGAGAGAGAGAGAGGGACACGATCTTATGAAGACAACATTCGTTACGGATTAACCCCTTCGCGCCCCCTCCCTCCCTCCCTCTCTCCTCTCTCCTCCCTCCCTCTCCCACTCTCCTCCCTCCCTCTCTCCTCTCTCCTCCCTCCCTCTCCCTCCCTCCCTCCCCCCTCCCTCCCTCTCCCCCTCTCCTCCCTCCCTCTCCCCCTCTCCTCCCTCCCTCCCCCCTCCCTCCCTCTCCCCCTCTCCATCCCTCTCTCTTTCTCTCTCTCTCCCTCCCTCTCCCCCTCTCCTCCCTCCCTCTCCCCCTCGTGAAGAATGGCTTTTGCACAATAGCTTTCTTTCTTGGAACAAAAACAAACGTTTTATTCTTTCTTCCCCCCCCCCCCCCCAAAAAAAAGGGAGAGAGAGATCCCCGAAAGCTGATCCCCCCCTCCACACCCCGAGGGGCTATTTTAAAGGCTGTGAACTTCTGCCCCCCCCCCCTCAAACATACCACAAGTCGTACTTGTTACACTTATTTTCTAGCATCGGGGAGGGGGGGGACGAAATGCAACGAAATACTCGGGCGATCGATCAGCCAGTGAGTCAAGTCATTTACCAAACGCACATTAAATCACAATAATTTCCTCCCCGGCCCCCCATCACCAACCACAACACCCCCCCACCACCACCACAACACCCCCCCACCCTCCCACCACCACCACAACACCCCCCCACCACCACCACAACACCCCCCCACCCTCCCACCACCACCGTGTTTACTCCCCGTTAAACAAGAGGATGCATGAGTGTTATTCGGGGGTACTTTCCATCCGAAGGTGTGTGTGTATATATATATAAAAAAGAGGGCAAAACGTTAAGTTTGTGGCAGCATGTGGTCTGCCGTCCTGCAAACAATGCAACTGCTGTGATGGATGTGTGGCACAGCACATCATGTAGGGAGAGAGAGAGAGGAGAGAGAGAGAGAAAGCAGCACCTTTTAACCGGACACTCTCCTTTCTCAACCACAACAACAACAACACACTTCTTCCCCCCCCCCTCACCACCCCCACCACCATCACCCATCACCCGAAAAAAAAATCATCGGAGGCGAAGTTTAATAACTTCTTTTTTTTTCCGGGGCTTGAAACAATCGAGTTGTTTTAAAGGGAAGTCGCTGATCAGGAATAAAAAACCCGCACCGAGTCGTCGTCCCCCCCCACCCCCCCCACACACCCCCCCACCCCCCACACACCCCACCACACACCCCCCCCCCCCATCGCTGAGTGAAATCGAGCGCTTTCTTTTTTAATATCGGAACCACAATAGAATCCAAACAGCAGCTGGAAAGCGAAATGGACATCCTGCAGCCACGGTATAAACTTTACATTCTTAGGGGGTGACACGGGTGGGGGGGGGGGGGGAGAGATGGGGGGGAGGGAGGGGGGAGAGAGAGAGATGGGGGGGAGGGGGGGGGAGAGAGAGATGGGGGAGTGGTGGGGGAGAGAGAGAGATGGGGGGGAGAGAGAGAGATGAGAGGGGAGAGAGATGGGGGGGAGAGAGAGTGATGGGGGGAGAGAGAGATGGGGGGGAGGAAGAGAGACATGGGGGGAGGGAGAGAGACATGGGGGGGAGGGAGAGAGAGAGATGGGGGGTGGGGGGAGAGAGTGAGAGAGAGAGATGGGGGGCTGGGGGGTGGGGGGGAGAGAGACAGATGGGGGGAGAGAGAGAGAGAGAGAGATTGGGGGGTGGGGGGGAGAGAGAGAGAGAGTGCGCTGGGGGGAGAGAGTGAGAGAGAGAGATGCGGGGACTGGGGGGTGGGGGGGAGAGAGAGAGAGATGGGGGGAGAGAGTGAGAGAGATGGGGGGGTGGGGGGGAGAGAGGGAGAGAGATTGGGGGGGAGAGAGTGAGAGAGAGATGGGGGGCTGGGGGGGTTAGAGAAAGAGAGAGAGATGGGGGGCTGGGGAGGGGGTGGGGGGGATGAGAGAGAGAGAGAGAGATGGGGGGCTGGGGGGGGTTGGTGGTGGGGGTGAGAGAGAGAGAGAGAGATGGGGGGCTGGGGGGGGTTGGTGGTGGGGGAGAGAGAGAGAGAGGGAGAGAGATAGGGGGGGAGAGAGAGAGATGGAGGGGAGAGAGTGAGAGAGAGAGAGATGGGGGCTGGGGGAGGGGGGGTTGGTGGTGGGGGTGTGAGAGAGAGAGAGAGAGAGAGAGAGAGATGGGGGGCTGGGGGAGGGGGGGGTTGGTGGTGGGGGGTGAGAGAGAGAGAGAGAGAGAGAGAGGGGAGAGAGGGGGTAACTCGGCTTTAATAGTTTTAAGAGGATCAAACGAGTCGCACGACCCATTCGTGCGAGAGAGAAAGAGAGAAAGAGAGAGAGAGAGAAAAAAAATAATATTACCTCAATTTCGAAGTCCGGGAGTCCAAACGCTGTCCTGAATAATGAGCAAAAGTGTGCGATGGCGGGGACTTCCCACCAAGAGCGAATTTCGTCCACCGAAACGGTCGAAGATGGACATTCCTCGGACATGTTTAAATGGTATCAAATCCTTTTTTTTCCCCCCTCTCTCTCTCTCTCTCTCTCTCTGACTCACTCTCTCTCTCTCTCTCTCTCACATCAGATAGTTTTTTTTCGCCCCAAAGCCACTTCGTCGGGTTTTTTTTGAAAAAAAATCTCTCTTTTCCTCCGCCCCCTTTTCCTTTCCCTTTTTTTTTCCCCTTCTCCTTCTCTTGGCTTTTTTTTTCTCTCTCTCTTCTCTCTCTCTCTCTCTCTTCTCTCTCTTCTCTTCTCTTCCCCTCCCGGTCCCTTACATCCGACCGGTGCAGCAGTCGCGCCTGGTCCGCTGTGCTGAGCCGCTCGCCATCGCCATCGCCATCGCCGGGACCGCCCGCCCCCCCCACCCCCCCCTCTCCTCTCCCCGTGAGCTCAGTCAGTGCCGCCGCGCGTGTGTAATAATGTCACGATTTCGCAGCCCCATTCTCACCGAGGAACAGATGGCAAAGGCAACAGCAGAGGGTGGTGGAGGGGTGGGTGGGTGGGGAGGGGGGGTGGAGGGAGGGAGGGAGGGAGGGGAGGGAGGGAGGTGGAGAGCGCTCCAATTCCTCAGCACATCCGAGGGAGACGCGGCCAAACTCCCGGGCCGACCGCTGGGGGCATGGCTCGGTATAACGCGCCCAGCCCGAGGATCGCCCACCGAACACGGTATTTACCGCGATCCGACACGCACCGGGGAGTGCGGGGGGACGCGGGTCCTTCTCAGAGCGCTGACTGGCGGCCCGAGACACCCCCACTCGGATAGTGGCTAAGGCTCCGGCGACAGTACAGGATGTGACGCCAGGGATCCCTTGGGTGCGGGCCAATGGGCCGCCCCGAGCAGCAGCTTGGGGTTGGTAGCCGAGCTCGGCTGGGGGCGGGGGGGGGCGGGGGGGGGGGGTGTGATGGGGAGGCGTTGTGATCGAGGAGGCAGTTCAGACTGGGATATTGCGAGAAGGGTAGAGAGGGAGAGAGAGAGAGAGAGAGAGAGTGTGTCGGGGGGTTGGAGGGGGGAGAGGAGGTGTAAATGTGACAGATCAGTAGTTACTTTATCAGCTCAGAGTGCGGGTGGGTATTGGGGGGTTGTGTGTGTGTGTGTGTGTGTGTTTGTGTAGTAATTGGTGCTGAGAGGGTTCAGTCCGGTCGCTGTGTTCGACCATCTCTCCCGCATCGGAGTCGCCGGTGAGAGGGTCAGCGCTCCGAACCCGATCGCCTCAACGCTCCGAACCCGATTGTCTCCACGTTCCGAACCCGATTGTCTCCGCGTTCCGAACCCGATTGTCTCCGCGTTCCGAACCCGATTGTCTCCGCGTTCCGAACCCGATTGTCTCCGCGTTCCGAACCCGATTGTCTCGGTGGAACTCGAGCCTCGGGGTCACCGAATGGCCACATTCCGAGGCGGGTCCCGCGGTGACAGCCGCCGTCTGCACCCACCTGCCATCGCCCCCTCCCCTCCCTCCCTCTTTCCACCCCAGTAACTGCAGCTGCTCACCCACACCCCCCACACCCCCCCTCCCCGCCCCCCCCATCTCGTCATGTGTCCGCCTGAAAACTTTTACATCCCGACAAAAACAAAAATAAAAAAACAATCGACGAGTGATCCTGTGCTTCTTTGCCTATAGATAGAGAGCGATCACATGCATATACGTATGATATGTGGTGTGTGTGTGTGTGTGTGTGTTTATGGTCCTACACATGGAGAACGGTTATTATCAAAGGCACTGTATACAGTCTGGATGTGTGTGTGTGTGTGTGTATAAATGCTGAAAGGTGTGAATTTCACCCCTAATCTTTCAGTAGAGCTGTGCAATCGATACCCCCCCCCCCCCCCCCCTCCCCCCCTCCCGGTGCTAACTAAGCGGGGGGTTTCGGGTTCCAGCCCACGACCTGGAGTTTCAGAGAGAAGCGTCGAGAGGTGACATTTGTGGAAGTGAAATCGTCTCGGGTTCTGTTTAGTTTCGGTGGGTCGAGCAGTTTCGGTACAATTCTGACGCGAAACGAGAAGATCGCTGAGCACTTTCTCTTTCAAGAGTTCAGTCTTGGGGGAGATCTGAACGACCGCGCAGCGCAGCGCAGCGCAGTTCAGGCTTTCGGGTCGACTTAAGTCGTTCAAGTGACACTCTTGGGTGGTTTTTCTTTTTTGGGGGGGGGTCGGGTCTTGGGAGTGGGGTTGAGTTGAAGCACTTCCAACAAAAAAAATATAGCGCACAGCAGCGTTGCTTTGCAAAATGGTGATGGGGAAGGCAGCTGCGGGGATCGCATTCTTTTGTCTGTTCGGGGTTTGCGACACGTTTCCCACTCCAGCTGAGCGGGATGAGCTGATGAGACTCGAGCAGTTCAAGATCACAGGCGGTAACCTCGTGTCCAGCGTGAAAGAGCTTCAGGTGAATGACATACTCAAGAAAATAAAAGGGGAAGAGATCGACAGGGGAACGGCGAGCGGCAGGTTCCCCCCATCCGTGCACTTTTTCAGTGCAAAAGAACTCATAGACGAGAGCGCAGTCTTTAACGTGATCAGGAAGATGCCCAAAGGTAAGCGTCGGCGTCTGCACTGCACTTGCGACGATGTGGCTTTGCAGAAACTTTGCAGAAACTTTCCCAAGACTTGCTCACGCTCACTCTCTGCGTTTTATTTATTGCTCCCCCGCAAGAGTCGGATCGCTGTTATCTTTCCACTTAAGCTTATTATGAATAAAGGTTAAATCACTTAACTTCCTATGTTTATATAAATGTCAACAAGTTCTATTACTGTATACACAGGCTTTCGTTTTACACTCGCCGGAGCCATCGATCTGCTTCGAGTTGCACATGTCTTACTGATTTTTTTTGATGGGAGGGGGGGGGGGGGAAAGGAGTCGAAAAGGGGGAGGGGTTCAACATTTTGGCTCACTGCTCCCTACCCATTTTTTTTAAAAAAAAACTTTCCAACTGCGGTGAAGGTTGGATCATTTGTTTTTTTTTGTTTGCAAATGCAACCATCGTATGTCGAAACATGGCTCTGGGATCTTACATTTGTGGAATAACAAGGTCCTGCCTATATAAAAAAAACTAACTCGTTGTTATTTAAACATCCCGCACTTGTTTAAACAGAACAATAAAATCCTATCCGGATAGTCCAGGCTGACACTCCCAATCCGGTGCAGTGGGGGAGCTCTGCTTTGTCTGCCTGTTTAAGTGCACACGAAGGATGCCATTCAGTTGTGGGCACCAATAGTGATTGTGATCAGGAGCCTAAGCTGATAAATATTTTCTTTCTTAAACCCCCCCCCCCCCCCACCACCACCACCCCCAAGATCTGGATCGCCAGGGCTCACTGCGTATTCTACACCTGAATCTTCTTGGTTAACTTTTGGATTCTGAACTAGTTCTGCAAATGTAAATGATAGGGGAAAATATCGGTCGCGGTTCCTTTTTCAGTTTCTGAAAGTGTGATGTATAAAGATGGGCATCTATCTATCTGTATTGAACCTGGACTGTGAGGCATGTGGTCAACCTGACTCGGTCGGTAGCACTCTCACCTCAGAGGATTCAAGCCCCACTGTATTGTCGGAGGTGCCAACCTTTGGATGAGATGTTAAGCTGAGATCCTGTCTGCCTGATCACTCATGACGCAATTCGAGAAGGGAGTTTTTCTCTCCTGGTGTCTTGGCCAACAAATCTCCAGATAGAATTAGTCACTAACTTCATGGGTCATTTTGTAGGACATTACAGTGTGCAAATTGGCTGCTGTGTGCGTAAAAACATACAAATCACTAAACTTTACAGTCAATCCTGTAAAACGCTTTGAGACATTCTGCTGGTTGCTGAAATGCATTTTTTTTAAAAAGTGCTATGGGTGCACACAATAATCATTGCATTACAGTGAGATCTGCCTTTTCAACTAATGATCATTTATCTAGTATAAGGTAGTTTTACCCCTTTTTATGCGCTCAGTATCACCTCACTTCTTTCTATGCCTTTAAAAACCCTGTTTAAAAACTTGTGACTGTTGTTACGTTCCCTGTTTCCATTCCTCCTTGTTCCGAGGATCATTGTTATGAAATGCTTTGAGATAGATGTTCATCCTAACCTGAAAGGCACTGTGTAAGTTATTGTATAGTCACTGAGGCAACTTAGAATAAGAGAACAATGTTGCTTAAAGTGCAACCATTACTGAATAATCTACATGATTTCTGTCTGTGTTTTTAACCTTGCTTCATAAACTTGCAGGTTGGGAAAATGTAGCCATGCTTTTAACCAAGCCTTCCATCTCACACTCTTTGATTTCTCTCCTTAAGTCAAAATGTCTCAAAGCACTTTGCAGCATCTTTCTGTAAAGTATAGTGATTGTGTGTTTGAGGGTGAACACGGCACCCATTTTGTGCACAGCAATGTCCCACAAACAGCCGTGAAGTGAATGACCAAATTTTTACTTGGGGGATTGTTGGTCAGGATATCAAAATAAACTCCCTTCTCTTTCAAATAGTGCCACAGGATCATTGATATCCTGAACAGGCAGACCAGACCTCAGTTTAACGTCTCTTCTGAAAACAACATCTCCGACACTGTAGCGCTCCCCCTTGTGCTGCGTTAGAGTGTCAGCCTAGGCTGAGCTCAAAGAAGTGAAGAATGACCAATTCATTGAGGTAGCATGAGTCCAGAGCCTGTGAAACTACCCAGCAAACATTAATGCATTTAGAAGAGAGGGAAGGTTTCAATTATCCCTCTGGGGAGTAGCTATGATCTGTGTGTGCACACATCTTGTGGTGGAGCAAGGGCAGAATAATTTTTTTTCAAATTCACTTTTTTAAAAAAAGTCTGCAATGCCACATACAAATAAAATGCAAATAATCTTGGGCGATGTCTGCTTTCTCTTTTTTGTGCCTGTATTCGTTTCCCAGTGTGTGAAACTGCTGTGTAAATGTGCCAACTCGGCAGAAAGGAATACCGGTTTAGTTGGTACCAAACAACAACAAATTACATTTGTAAAGCGTCTTTCACGTTAAGAGGACGTCTCAAACCTCAGGAAATGAGGCACGCGTGAATATGTGGGACTGAAGAGTATTGATTTGCGCCACGAGTTGTTGCTATGGACAGAATTGCTTGTCAAATTCAGTAGAATTTTTATAAAGTGCACCCCGAACCTCAGTGAGCTGGAGATTTCCTGATGGCTCAATGGCTAAATGAATGATAGAGTCTGGTGCTGTGCTGTATAACTAGGAAGTTTTCCAGGTTCAATTGCTGCTGGGGCAGATTCAGCTGAGACAGCAATGGCTGTGCTGTAATTCGACTCTTGTGTTTTGATGCTGGGGAGAGCAAAAATATCAGCCACCATTCCTGCTCCTGATCACAGTGACAACAGAAATGTGTGCCAGGTTAAGATATCAATCAGACAGCAGGACAAACCTGTTATCAGTCTGTTATCCTCTGTTCAGCACACTTCATGTCCCCTTCCCGATCCACCATTCTGCCCCAGCTCTCTGGAACTCCATTGCGGGCTCCTACCTCCTTGCCTTTAAAGCTGCCTTAAAGACCTATCTTTTCAAACATGCTTTTGATCCCCTTCCACACATATACACACACACATAACGTAACATGTAGGAGCAGGAGTAGGCCATTTGGCCCTTCGAGCCTGCCCCGCCATTCAATCATGGCTGATCTTCTAATCTAACTCCAGCTAATAACCTGACCCTGCCTTATCCCCATATCCCTTTTGCAATAAGAAATCTATCTATCTCAGTCTTGAATATGTTCAAGGACTGAGCGTCAACAGCCCTTTGTGGTAGTGAGTTCCATACATTCACCACCGTTTGAGTGAAGACGTTCTTCCTTAACTCGGTGCGAAAGGGCTGGCCTCTGATTTTAAGGTTATGACCCCTGGTTTTAGTTGCTCCAACGAGGGGAAACAATCTCCAACTATCTACTCTATCATGCCCTTTGATGATCTTATAGCTTTCTATAAGATCCCCTCGAATTCTTCTATATTCTCTCCCCTTCTAAAAAATAACCCGCTCTACTGTTTTTGCTACCGAGGTGGATGACTTCGCACGTCCCTACATTATACTTCATCTGCCACCTACCTGTCCAATCACCTAACCTATCTAGGTCTCGCTGTATTTTTTTAATGTCGTCCTCTGTGTTGACACTTCCTCCTAGTTTTGTGTCATCCGCGAATTTAGATATATTAACTTGATCGTTGATGTAGATGGTAAATAGCTGAGGCCCAAGGACTGATCCTTGTGGCACTCCACTAGTCACATCCCGCCAATCTGAAAAGGACTCGTTTATCCCTATTCTTTGTTTCCTACCCGTTAACCATTCCCCAATCCAAGTTAATATGCTCCCCCCAATTCCATGGGCCCTTATCTTTTGGACTAACCTTTTATGCGGCACCTTATTGAATGCCTTCTAGAAGTCCAAATAGACCACATCCACTGATTCACCCTTATCTAGTTTAATCGAAATATCCTCAGAAAACACCATGAGATTTGTCAAACATGACTTCCCTTTTGTAAAGCCATGTTGACTTGGCCTAATTATATTGTGCTCCCCTAAATACCGCACTACCACATCCTTAATCAAAGATTCTAAATTTTTCCTATCACTGATGTGAGACTAACTGGCCTATAGTTCCCCATCTTTTCCTTTCCACCTTTTTTTAAATAGTGGTGTGACATTTGCGATCTTCCAATCCATGGCGACTGTTCCAGAATCCAAGGAATTTTGGAAGATCAGACATAAGGCCTCCACTATCTCATAAGCTACCTCTTTTAAAACCCTGGGATGCAAGCCATCCGGACCAGGGATTTGTCACTTTTTAGTGCTAACAGTTTCCCTCGCACCAATTCTCTACTAATGAAAACTTCCCTAAGTTGCTCCCTGTCCTTATCCCTTTGGTGCACCTCTATTGTTGGCAGACTTGTTGTGTCTTCTCGGGTGAAGACAGATGCTAAGTACCCATTTCGGGACTCTGCCATGCCCTTATCCCCCATTACAACTTCTCCCATCTCTGACTGAAGTGGACCTACATTTACCCTCACTAGCCTATTCCTCTTAAAATATTTGGAAAATCTTTTACAATCAGACTTAATGTTCCTAGCTAGCTGACCCTCATACTCCTTTTTCTCGCTCTTAATGAGTTTTTCAGTTTTATTTTGCTGGTTTCTAAAACTCTCCCAATCTTCAGATTTGCCGCTTTTCTTGGCAGTTTTATAAGCCTTTTCTTTTAATTTCATGCTTTCCCTAACTGCTCTGGTTAGCCACGGATGAATTGCTTTCCTTGTGGTACTCTTATTCCGCAAGGGAATATGTGACCGCTGAGAATTTTGCACTACATCCTTAAATATTTGCCACTCTCAACCCCCTCCCTGCACCAACTCAGAAGCTCAGCCTGACATTCTAGTGAGTGTATAAAATCAAAGTGGTTCTGTCCTGGTGCTTTGTAAATTGTATGGTTTTGTAAATTATTGTTGCTGTTGTGAGTTTGTTAAGCAATAGCAAAGAACTGAGTAAGCAACAACAGTGGTCGGGGAGGTAGGGTGGTTACAGCCGAGGATTATTTTGGGCATGAGCGTACACTGGTGTGGTAAACTCTAAACCCCACACACCTTAAACTTCAATAATGCTATTAGATCACCGTGGCTTCTTCATAAAATATGTATATTTTTAATAAACACAATGAAAGGAATAGTAAAGGATAGGATGAGAACATTTGAACTTTCTTGATTTCTGAGGATGTTTAATAATAATAATAATCCTTGCATTTGATATAGCGCTTTTCACGTTGGGAGGACGTCCCAAAGCGCTTCACAGAACACACTGTGAAGTGAATTGACTGTATATTTGTGGGCGAACGCGGCAGCCAATTGCGCACAGCAATATCCCACAAACAGTCGTAGATTGAAAATGACCAATTTATTATTGTTTTGGGTTTTTGGAGGGATTATTATTAGGTGTGTGGAGTAAGGAAACTTGCCCAAGGTTTCGCCCTGCCTGGAATTGAACTCGGGTCTCTCGCTTGCAAAGCGAGTGCTCTAACCACTGAGCTACAGGACTCCACTGCAACACTATTAGGCAAGTGAAGCAATTATGTATGGTTTCATTGTGGGCTGAGTACACATATGCAGTTGATGAATAAGTAAGGTATCTCATATGACATCTCTGACACTACATTGGCATGTCAGCCTTGACTCTGAGCACAGTCCCAATGTGGGGCTTGCACTCACTACCTGACTCAGAAGCGAGAGTCCTACCATCTGAGTCAGGGTGATATTCCTGGCACCAACTGACAATGATGCACACTCATGTGGTTTAAGTACGTAAAACAAATGCTTTGTATCTGCGCACTGGAATAAAGAGGTCAGCTTCATTAATCCATCCACGTGAACCTTATTGCTGAGCCCAGATTATAGCAATGGACTTCGGCAGTAATAGGGCTTTGCAAACTATTGTCCCATTGTATTGGCGAAGCAGCACCATATGGCTGTATGTTTTAAATAGTTCTGTCAAAATATTGTCAAGAAGCAAAACAAAAGTGAATTATAAATCAGACCTGAAGATTTTGTTCAGAATAAATAAACAAATATTGATATTTAAATATTTATCATATAATGTCATTAAGCTGAAATTGGTGCATACAAGAATGGCAACTTACATTTATAGTTTCTTGGAGCGCTTAAAAGAATATGACTGACATCTCATAGGAAGGACAACACCTCTGACAATGCAGCACTTCCCCAGCACTAAATGAGGGAGAAGGGAATAGAAGGGATTAAGTGTGATGGAGGCCGGCATAGGACTAGTTTAGATAAATGGCCTGTTTCAGTGCTGTAAAATTTTAGATGATCTGCATAATTGGAGAACTCACTTTTTTTTTAATTTCCTCTTTTGGTGCTAAAAGAATTTGTGTTCAATGTTTCACAAAACCATAGGGTTCACAAGGCTGCTGAACAGGTTTTTGCCATTGTTATGTCCTCTTACTGTTATTAATCATTTGAGGTAGACTAACCGGTGTAGGGCTGGATGAAGCAGCCTAGCGATCTGTTCAGCCTGGCGAATTGCTCTACCTGTTCCGCAAGTAGCAGAAGTACTTGACCTTTCAGGTGAAGGTCACTGGTTTGTGCTTCAGGGCTACCAATCATTGAGACCAGTGAGCCTAGCCTCCGGTGACTTACCCGCACCGGGCTGCTCAATTGAGTGTCACATATTTTGTAGAAAATTGATGCGGGCAGGTTAGCTCCTGGCCTGAATCTTGCCTTTGCTTATTTGTTTTCCTCTCCCGAAGGTTCGACTGATGCCAGGGTACAATTTTAAGGCCCACAATTCTTGTGTGAGCCAAGAAAGTGAAGACTGGAAGCTATTTGACCAGAATAGCACAACGGAATGTACAACGCCAAGGTGGTTCAGTCCTTGTGCTAAGTCCATATGTAGAGTGAAGCAGGTTTTTGATGGGGTGGTGGGCTTGTTGGCTGATTTGTTTTCTACTCTAGCCCTGAGGCACTGCATTCCAAATATGCTCCTGCTAGCCCAGCTGAGATCATAGAATTATACAGCACAGAAGGAGGCCATTTGAAAAGAGCTATCCAATTCAATCCCACTCCCCTGCTTTCTCCCCATAGCCCTGGAAACTTGTCCTTCCCAAATAATTATCTAGATCATCCAACTCAGCACAAACCAGAGATCGAACCTGAGACCTTTCTTTCTCTGTGCAACTTGGTTCTTCATGTTTAGTAATGGCTTCACCAACTGAACCATTGGAGTCTGTTGTTTGCTCAGAGTTAATGATGAAGAGACCTGTGCAGCTCATAATAAGATGCTGCAGCCAATGGCTGGAAACAGCCATATATATTTGTGACCTACAAGAGAGGAGAGCAAAACATTTTTTTTTGTGTTTTGTGATAAGAAGGCTGTTGAAACTACTTCTTGAGGGATATTCTTCTGCATAGACAGTTCGTGCACAAAATAAACAATGTGGTAAGTGAAAGAATGTAATTCACTAACATTTATGTTGTCTCTTTTTAAACGAAAACAAGTAAAGCCTGGACTGGAGAGCGTGAAAAAATCCTGCTGCCTTGGAAGATTCATTTCAATGCAAAGTGTAGTGTGCTAGGATCTGCATTATGACTACACTGACAATGCAGCAGTCCCAGTGCTCCTACAGGAGACCTAAAAGTGCAGGCCAGGCACTTCCCCATAGTGAGGTGAATTGGATTTAACTTGTCCAACCCATGGTCCTAACAGTGTCTGGTTATAGGGTCTCCAACCATCCCCAAATTGTAACCTTCCCCAACCAGTTTTTGCCAGCTGTGAGAGTAAGTGGTCATGATTGAGGATATTTCTAATTACTTCTCACATACCCTAACATTATTCAGTGGAAGGATTGATTGGCCTAATTCAAGGTGGATGTTGGCCCTCTCTTTAATATGATACACCTCCCCCCCCCCCAAACTCGACAAATAATTCAAGATCCTGTCTGCCTATTCAGGAAGAGGTTAACAATCTAATTACAATATTTAATATGCTCTGGCCAACAATGCTCTGACAATGAAGCATGTGCCCAACACTGCACTGGAGTGTCAGCCTAGACCGATAGTTCTTCCTGGCCAACAATGCTCAGGAGTAAATGATCATTCATTACAGGGTTGTTTGGGGAACCTTTCTCGCCACAAACTAGTTGCTACGTTTTCCCACTTGATATTAACTGCTTGCAAAGCACGTTAAGATGTTATAAGCACAATATCAAATGTGTGGGTTATTATAATTAACTTGAGAGCCTGGCAGGCAAGCTCTGGGTTGCAAAGGAAGCACCAGTACCATGAAACCCTGTTTTAAGTTTACAAATCTACATTTGTTTGCTCAGTGATTATTATTGGTTTTGGTCATTGAAGAGTTTATTGGCTTTACTTTTCTGCAGGTGCTGCCTTACATCTCCATGATTATGCCTTGTTGAGCGTGGAATGGCTGGTGAAGAATGGCACTTACCTGCCTCATTGTTATGTCTGCTTCACGGCCGAGCAAGGGGTCCGCTTTCATTTCTTCTCCAAAGGCCCAGGGGAAAGGTTGCCAGAATGCTCCGAATGGGTCTTGCTGGAAACATACAGAAAGCAACTTCATAACGTCACCGAATTTGACAACAGGTACATAATAATAATATAATAATCCTTGCATTTGATATTGAACCTTTTTATATCGGGAGGATGTCTCAAGGTACTTCACAGGATTTCCTCATTAAGTGCAGTGACTGTATTTTGCAGGTGAACCTATCAGCCAATTTGCGCATCTCATTTCATCCATCAATTAGCACAAAATGCACTCCATTAGATTAAAGTGTAATGCGGCTGTATACGATTTATGCCTCTATCGTCTAGAGAAAAAGTGCAGTTTGCTTTGTTAAGTTTATACTTGTTCTAAGTTTGTGCTTCGGGAGGCTCAGTGGGTAAATGTTCAAAAAGCCAAACACCAAATTGTATTTAACTAGCACTCTTCACATAGGGTATTGTCTCAGAACCCTTCACGGTGATGGTGTTGAACACTGAATAAGGGAGACGGAGTGAGAGGGAGGTAGCTATAGCTATGTTCAAAGTGGTAGAATTTGGAGTGGGTCTTAAAGACCCGAAAAAGAGGAGTGGAGTGGTAGGGTGAGGGCCTTCAAGAGATTAGGGGCAGGGCAACTGAAGACTCGGCTCTTGATGGCAGGGGACGTACATGTAACCTAAGTTAACTTAACGTTTGGGACAAGCAGAAGAGTAAGGTGGGAGGAGATAGGGTATCCAGCAACACTGGGTGTACCCAACATTAAGATTCCAAATTCATTTCCTGGTCTTGAGTTAGCTGATCTCAGCTTGGTCAGGCTGGGAGGGGGGAAGAAAGGGGAAAGCAGGAAGGCCCTAGAATTGGCCACAGTGTCCTAAAACTTGGGAAGAGGAAAAGATTAGCCACTCCTTGGTTATCCATGAGCTGACCTCTGCTGACAACAACTTGCATTTATATAGCACCTTTCACTTGGGGTAGCTGGGGGGGGGAAGTGGCCATAGGCACGGTTGATGAGTAAAGCCTTCGAATGACGAGCAAAGAGGTGGCAAGGCAGGGATTGTAGCAGTGTGGTGGATGAAGGCAGGACCATCAATGCTAGAGATAAGGGGATGGAGGTGTGCAGATCAGCAGTGGTCACTGTAGTGACAGCGATGGGGCTGCAACACTGTCCCAGTGGCCCTGGGCTAGAGAAAGAAAATCAGCCAGAGTTTCCAATCATAATTGTTACTGTAGTATTTCCCCCCCCCTATGCTGAATAATGTTCTACTTGGATATCACTTGAGGACAGGATCAAGCTTAATCCTGATGCCATTTGTGGTTGCTGACACTCACTGTGTCAGCTCGCACACGCCGAACAGCCACTTGTGGGAGTATGGATGAATGAGACAGTGGAGTCAGTGTTCTTCTGGGGAGAAACAAAAAATAACCTGTTAGATAACGTTACCTCTGTAAACAGGAAATGTTTCTCTAACTCTGCAAGGATGACTGCGTGGCCTTCTTCAGTGGTTAGGACTTCCTTAATGTTACTGCATTCAACAGCAAAACTCACACCTACAGACAGATCAAATACGAGCCTGTACTGCTGAGCTCTGCAAGCTTTGCTTTCAACTGGTGGGTGGGCGGAGGGCGGGGGAAGAGGGAGAGAAGCAGAGTCAGGATATTTTTTGCTGGGTTAGCAAAACCTGCTGGGGGTGCTATCAGGTGATAACAGTGTGCGTTCTACTAATTTTTTCCAAAATACAGCTGACGTAAAGTTCACTTGCCAGTACAACCCATTCTTGAGTCCAAACCAAGGGGCATATACAACAACAACTTGCATTTATATAGCACCGGTCACATGGGATAGAGCTTCACATTGTTTTAGCTATCTGTACCTAAGAATGCCAGGAGCAGATCTGAAAGGGGGTAGAGAAGGAACTTTTTTACACAGAGGGTGGTGAGAATGTGGAACTCAATGCCTCTTATTGAAGCAGGAAGCATCAACATATTTAAGAGGCAACTTAATGCGTACATGAGGGAGAAGAGAATAGAGGGGAACAAGAGAGGGGATTAGGAAGGACAGGGTTTCTTGTGATGTATAAACACCAGCATGGACAAGTTAGGCCGAATGTCCTGTTTCTGGGCTATATTATTATTCTATGAGGATCCTTGTTATAGTAAACTTCAAAGAAGTAACTCAGGGCATCTTTTATCTCTGCAGTTTGCTTCAAAACTTTACACTGGTTACAGAAAACCCAGAGAAAGCCTACCCGACACAGGCTGTCATTTGGAAGAAGTTTGAAGAGATATTTATGGTTGCTGCTAGTCTCATTTCGTATGCTCCAGTCTTTAAAGCCTACTTTTATCAGGCTTTGCAGGAATTCTACGATGATAACGTGCAGTATATTGAGCTGCGGTCGTTACTAATACCGGTACGTAAACATATTGGCCCCATCAGAATGTGCTTTAATTTTCTGCAAACATCTAGTAAAATTCTCTTCTCACAAACATTTTCTGTTGAGGCCATTGCGACTTTTTTGCTGAGGGCATGAGTGTTGGGTGCTCACAGGGTCTTTGGTTCATCCGTGAGCCATATTAATAATCCTTGCATTTGACATTGTGCCTTACCATGTTGTCGAAACATCTGAAAAGTACTTCACAGCACTTTACTGGAAAGTGTAGTGACTGAGTATTTTGTAGTTGAACACAGCAGCCAATTTGCCCACGGCAGCCTCCCACAAACAGCTGTAAAGTGCATGTCTGACTATTTTATGCGGGGGATTGTTGGCAAGCACACTGGTATGAAGTTTGTTATATTCGACCACAGAGCTACAGTCACTCCATTTTACAGTAGACCCTGTGCGGGGCTTTGAGACGTCCTCCCAACGTGAAAGGCACTGTATGAAATGTATTGATTATTGTTATAGCCAAAACCCAGGACTTCACCATAAAATGACTTTCAGCCATGAGGTAGGTCAGTGAGCCTGCCTGCTTTTCCCTTAGGGGGTTGGGCCTTTGACTTCACCCCTGTTCTGCTTGTCTCTCTCTAAGAGATCTAGCTAGTGCTTGGGTTCCGCTGGTTCTCAGTTAGCTGGTACAACCAGGCGGACACCCATGTACTGATTCAGCAAATGCAGGAACAGATGCTGCTGAATGTAGATATGTTTCAGTGGAACCAGCAGATGGTTGGGCACGATTAAAATATGCTTCTACAAAACGTGCAGCTGTTTTTTTTATTTTCTTTCCCGCTTTTCTTAAAAACTCTGACTCAAGGCCGGAGAACAGTTCCACATGTGTCGGAGCACTACAACCATCGTTCCCCCTCCCCTGTATCTTCACATGAAAAACTAAACAGTGGGTCGCGCCGTTAATAAGCAATCCCAGTAAAATTCCTATCATACTGTGGGAATTTGCCCCTGAGTGTAGGTTGTGTCCGAGCAGAGTTCCCAGAGGGCGTTGTGACATTCACCGGAAAGAAACCTTTCTCGCGTGACTGATTCCTTATTAAGGAATTCATTAAGAAATACCTCACCCTCTCCCTCCTCCCTCACACCCCATATGAGTTTGTGGTGCACACAAGCTGGCTATTGGGGGAACTGTGTACGTTCTGTCTTTCGGGCCTGCTAACAAGATTGCTGTGAGCTGGTTATGAGCCAGGATGTGCGGAGGACTGCAAGTGAACAGCCAGCTCCTTAATCCATAACAAAGCCAGCTCACCGGCACTGATAGTGTACATGGCTGTGAAGTAAGGGCTACATCACTCCAACGCACCAGACTGACACTTATACTGCTCCAGGAAGAGCTTGTAAAATATCAGTTTATTATTGAAAGAAAGTCCAGCTCATAACGATCCTTGGGCCAGTTGCTAACAGGAGGCTAGCCAGCAAGATCCTTCCCCCAACATGAGTCAACACCTTCAGGAGAGGGGCAGAAATAAGAACATAACAATTTGCTAGGCGAAAGAAGACCAAGGTCCATCTAGTTCGCCTTCCACCAGCCACTTGACATGTTGTGTCCACTGTTTCCTCTAAGCTCTAACACTGAAGTAGTGTTTCCGCAGATTTGTTCTGAATTTACTCCCCCCACCCCACCCCCCCCCGCCCCACCTCAATTGCAGGCCGTGTCCTCTGGTTGTACTGTTCAGAACAAGATAGAGCAGCTTATCTATTCCCTTCAGAATCTTAAACCATAATCATATCACCCCTGAACCTTCTCTTCTCCAGTGTGAATACACCCAGTTTATCTAATCGCTTCTCGTAGTCCAGTCCCTCCACACCTTCAGTCATTTGGTTGCCCTCCTCTGTTTCCTCTCAATCGTTGCAATATCCTTTTTATATTGTTTTGACCAGAACTGCACACAGTATTCCAAGTGTAGTCACACCAGTGATTTATAAAGTGGCAGGATTACCCCACTATTTCGACTCAATATTGCCCTTTTAATACAGCCTAGCATCTGGTTTGCCTTACTCACCGCTACTGAGCACTGTTGGGATAGTTTCAATTTATTATCAATCAGGATCCCCAGGCCCTTTTCATTTTCTGTACAGATTATTTTCTTAGATTAAATAATAATTTCTTCTGGGATTTTTTGTCCCCACATGAAGCACTTTGCATTTCTCTACATTAAATTTCATCTGCCATCGGTCTGCCCAATTCCCAAGAATGTACAAGGCCTCCTGTAATCTATCCTGTTCAACTTTGCAGTTGACCACCTTCATTAGCTTTGTGTCAATTGGTAATTTAGCCACTGTGCTTGTGACGTCTAGCTCAGGTCGTTCATGAAGATGTTAAATAAAATAGGTCCCAAAACAGACCTCTGTGGAACTCCAATGGTAACATTCTCCAAGCCTACTGACATTCCCTGTATCGTCACTTTCTGAATACCTTCTAAATAAATCAAATGACTAATACATAAGATGCACACATTGACTTTATATATACATATATGCATATATATATAAATATATGCACATTTATACATATATGTGTATTTATGTTTTGCACTTAAGTCTATGTAAAAATCTGGACGTGTATGTATACATGTGTGCATAAATATCTAAATTGTTTTGTATGTGCAAGTATATGTGTATATGTAAGGATTTTTTTGTGTGATTGTGTGTGTCTGTGTGTGTTATACATATGTATATCTGGATAGCAACTGGCAGCGGAAACCTTGGGCTGTTTTATTATCTGCTTCCTCCCAGCATCATTGAAGCCAATTGTAGGGTTGTGGCTAATTTTAACTTAGAGAGTACTTGCATGTCTTCTTACTAATTCCTCTCAGATCTGATAAGTCACTGAAAAGCTTCATGACATTTCAAACCAAAAGGCAAAGCAGAATTAGGGAGAGCATTATATACTTTTTATATCAAGGTCTGCAGGCAAATTTAAAGGGCGTTTTGCCAGTCAGCAGCGTCTAATTACAGATGGTTTAATCCCAAGTCTGCTCTGCCTTTTGTGTGGGTTCACTGACCTGTCACACACTGTCAGGGGCTACAAAGGTAACCTTACAAATTGCTTTCATTTCCAGTTGCTCCTGTAGGGCACGATAGGTACTGGACATGTGTGGTAGGTTGTAGAGTTGGCTGAAGATGTTGTATTTCAAGCATTGAATGTACCAGTGATATGTGTCCGACTCCACTGCCATAATGTATTTAACCTCCAATTTATTTTACTCCACATCTATTTAAAAATTTATACTTTTTCATTTTTGCTACAGTGCAATGTCAAAGCATTTAAATTTAGCAATCCTCAGCGATGCATTTGTGTGAAGAGAACACAGTAAGACCCAACTCAAGCCCAAACCCATTTAAATATACCAGGTGTTGGAGACTCAGTGACTATCCCATGTGGTACCTCTCTTTCAGGTATATGAGCTTGATGGGACCTTGCATGACAAGGAATGGTCCATTGTGTCATACAGAGAGGTTGCCAGGCGGTTCAGACGTGATAATCCTGACTTCATGGGAGCCAAAGTTATCTTCAGTCCACATCGGTAAGATATACAATTTCAGTTAACCCTTACACTGCTGCAAATTAAAATAATGCAAATTGTGTTCAGCATGAATTGGGGATGAAAACTGAGACCTTGCTGTGTATGTATAAGATCACAAGATAGGTTTGAATGAAGAAGGTTCTTCAGCCCATTTGATCTCATCCTTCCAAAATGCACATCCTCCCGTTACTCTATCTTGTTTGTGTGTCAGCCTGACTCAGCCATAGCATTCCCACTTCTAAGTCAGATGGTTGTGGCTGACATTCCAGTGAAGTGCTGGGGATGTGCTACATTGTTTGAGATGCCTTCCATTGGATGAGACTTTAAACTGAGGTCCTGTCTGCCTGTTCAGGTGGATGTGAATGAACCTATAGCGCTACTCAAAAAGAGAAGGCAGTTTCTCCTGGTGTCCTGGTCAACAGACCCCTAAATAAAATTGGTCATTAACTTCATGGCTGTTTGTGGGAAATTGCTGTGCCCAAATTGGCTGCCATGTGTGCCTACAAATTTCCAGTCCCTCTCTACACAATTAAAATCCTGTGAAGAACTTTGAGACATCCTCTTGACTTAAATGGCGCTGTACCAAATGCATCATTATTAGCATCTACTGTAGTGTCAATGACTTTCCTGATTTGCCTTTTTTAGGAAATGGAATGTTTCAAAAGTCAGAACAGAAATGTACGCAGCTATGGAACTGTATGAGAAATACCCAGAGACACTGGCTGGCTTTGACCTGGTACGTTCAATTCTTCACTTAAATTGCTCCCTGTCTAAGAGCTTTGTTTTATTACAATCATTTTTTCTTATGTTAACTGAAATTAATAATAATCATCCTTGCATTGAGTTTAGTATCTTTCACATTGGAAGGATGTCCCAAAGCATTTCCCAGGATATACTGTAAAGTGCAGTGACTTTCTTTTGTGTTTTGGTGAAATTGGAATTATACTCTATTTCTTCACTCTTCATACATGATCTGTTCCTAGAGCTACCCCAATTGCTCAGTGAGCATCAGCTTCACAAGGAACTCTCATATGCAGAGTTTATTTTCATCTCCTGAGAGATGACTCAGAGGGGTGTAACATTCAAATGGGATTGAAAAAGTACACCCAGAATGTAGGATGCACCAAGACAATAGAACAAGAGGATTTAGGTTTAGAGTTGCGAAGGGTGATTTCAGGACAGACACCAGGAAGCTTTTCCTTAATCAAAGGGCAATTAATGAATGGAACAGGTTGCCAGAAAGGGTGGTTGGGGCTAGGTATCAACAGTCAAAATATTGAAAAGTGGGTTTATACGAGAAGGATTCCAGTCAATGAATAGGGTCTGCGAGGATCTCAGAAGATGATGGAGCCATCTGAACGAACAGCCTCCTCTTGTTCCTGTCCCAAATTCACTGAGTTCTCATAAACTATCTCTAGATATGGTTCTTCGTGGACTCGGGAGCTGAGGGGGAGAGCCCAGGAGCAGAATGTGTGTCTATTGTAGCGAGCATTGCTAAATGAATCTATTCCACTTGAATGTCAGCGGCTTGAGCAAGATGCTGATCACACTAGAAATGAAAGATACTCGAGCTCCAAGAAAGAGAGAGTAAAAGATTAATATTTGATATATAGAAAGAATCCTTCATTTTCTAGTTGGTGGAAATTTTATCTCTCTTAATGTAGCAGTTGACGCTGAATCAGATGAGTTGATGGTGATTTATATACAGATCTTGAGTCATATACTGTCTGGTGGCTGAATGCCTCAATACTAATTGATTGGAGGAGCTATTGTAAGTATCCTTCTCTCTGAAGGCTGGAAGGTCTGCCCTTCCACTTGCATTGATAGCACTTGTCATCTCTTCCAGCTGTCCATTCCTGCAAATTAACGTGTTCTGAATCAAACTTAATGATGCTTAATAAATTGCCTTAAATATTCCACTACCCATGCATTTAATAAACCTGTAATTTTATGTATCCTCAGAAACATCTGTCGTCGAATATGACAGGAATTGAAATTTGAGTTTTGTTCCCCAAGTTTAAGCACTCTGAACTTTACACGTCATTTTCTATGCCAGTCGAGAGTGGCTGGCATAAAGTGGAGCTATATGTGAGAAGTTTTACTGAGCTGGCTGATGCCCCTTTGAACACGTAGGTGCCAACCTCTTGCAATTGCATTCCTAATGTTGGAAGCAGCGTTGTAAGGTGAACAAGCCCCTGCAGTTGATTCCTCATCCCTCTCTGGCTTTTTGTTATCAGGGGAAAGTTGCGAGCAAATTGGGAGTAGTGGGGTTTTGGAGGTAGCACATTCTCGGCTCACAGAGCAACGATGTGGTTTCATCATTGGCCGCACTGCCTGGGCATTGGGGCAGCTAGGCACGAGTTAAGATGTACGCTACAGTGTAGTTGGTTGTGTGTTGCCTGGGATCCCAACTGGAAGGAGGGAGGGAGTGGGGAGGGGATTTGTTTGAACCGGTTTCACCAATGCCTCAGGCAGTTTAAGAATATTCTCTGTTTGAACCGGTTTCACCAATGCTTTGTACGACAGTGCCTCATAATGTACACAGAAGTAATTATTTGGGGAGGATAAGTTTGCAGGACTATAGGGAGAGCACGGGGGAGTGGAATTGATTTGGATAGCCTCTTTTCAAAAAGCCAGCACAGACACAATGGGCCGAATCGCTTCCTTCTGTGCTGTATGATTCTATGAAGTGTTGCCCACACTAAAATGCAAATGTACATGCAATTCCTATCTCTGAGACCCCCAAGAATAGTTTTAATATTCCATTCACTACTGGACATCATTGCATAGGACTCTAAAATGGGAGATTAGCAAACTGGAAGTCACGTTTAACACTACCCTTTAAGACCATGTTGTCTTAACATTTACAATTGCATAGACATTTGGAAGATTCTTAAATTTAGTCTTAATTTTGAAGCAGGTTTGCTATAGTTCCTAAAGAGATCTGGCTTTTAAATTAATAACAATAATAATGATCTTTGTATTTGATATATCGCCTTATCACACTCACTCTGAAGTGCTACTCCGTATTCATACGCAAATAAGGCAGTCAGTTTGCATGCAGAAATATCACACAAAAAGCCATGAAAAGAATGACCAACTTTATTTGGGGGGATTATTGGCTAGGATACAGGGAGAAGCTCCCTTCCATTCTCGAATAATTCCATATAAAGTCCACCCGATCAGACGGATGGATGTAAGGTCTTATCCAAAAGGCAGCATCTCTGGCAATGCAACTCTTCCTTCCTCTCCCCCACCCCCCCCCCCCCCCCCAGTATTGCATTGGGATTTTACCCTGGACTGTGAGCTCAAAGTCCCGATGTGGGGCTTCAACACTAAATCTTTTGATCTAGAGGCAAGAGTGCTACCAACTGATACAATGAAGACCAAATATAAATATTTCCACAATTGTGCGCCATCCTAAATTTTAAAATAGTCTTATAGGTATGGGGATGGAATTTCAGGCCAATAGTCTTCATTAGCGTCTCATGAACATCTACCCCGGGGTTTGTTACAAGACCTTGGTCCTTTTGTTTGTTGCCGTGTCTTCTCTGCACAGTATAAACCATGGTCTATCGATCCTGCACAGGTTGGCCGAGAAGACGCAGGCCACCCACTCTGGTACTTCAAGGATGTGCTGTTGATCCCAGCAGAGAAGAAGGTTAAGATGCCTTTTTTTTTCCACGCTGGTGAAACTGGTAAGTTGAAGATTAAGTGCTTAAAAAATGGTTCCTTTTTCAATATAATGTTCAGTTCTTCCCTTTCCCCCTGGTGAGCGTGTGAGTGAATGACCATCCTGGGATTTTCCTTCCTCTCCAGAGGGGAGGGGCTGAACAGATCCATGTCCTGTGGCTAGGAATGGACAGGATCAGGGACTGGTGAAGCGAGAGCACAGAGCTACCCTGTGTCACTGGAGGGATTGTACACCGAGACCAAAGTAGCACAGGACCAATCCCGAGTATTAGTACTCTGGGGCTTTCACATCAAATCCTTCCATTTTGTGATAACGTTCCCCAGGGTCAGCTGGAACGGTTAGCTTTTTAGAGCGAAGTTCTGTGCATGCCAAGTTGTGGGGCTTCGGTATGGGAGGAGGGAACGGGGAGAGAAATGTGTGTGTGAACAGGGGGATTGTTGGCTAGGATCCCCCTAAACACATACACACCAAGACACAAAGGGTGTTTGTGCTGGGGGACAGATTGTAATATTTCTTAGTCTTTGCTATCAATGTTGTGTACCACAGTTGGCCTCCAAACCAGGGAGGTATATGGGCACGAGAGGAAGTGAACTTCAGTCTGACATCTCCTCCTTCAGAGAAGAAGGGGGAAAGTTAGAGGAGATGTTTTTGTTTCCTACCAATATCATCCCATGTGGGTCACATCCTTTGTAAATGGTTATAACTGAGGTTGCTTTGCCCTGCAGACTGGGAAGGTATGAGTACAGATGAGAACATCCTGGATGCCTTGATCCTGAACACCAGTCGGATCGGCCATGGCTATGGTATAATCAAACATCCGATTGCAAAGAACATCTCCAGAGAACTAGATGTGCCATTGGAAATCTGCCCCATTTCCAACCAGGTAAGAGGGACTCAGGGATCGAAGTAACGGAGCTGACAGTCGCTTTTCACTGTGATATTGTAAAATTGCGAGTTCTTTATTTGTTGGTTAGTGATGAAAATGACAGGAAAGATTTGGTCTCTTTAAACTGCATAATGACAACTTCATAGAAAAATAATGATAATCATTCCATTTAAAAGTATATCTTTCCCATTGGGAGGACGTTTCAAAGCTCTTCACAGGATTTACTGTAAATTGTGTAATGACTGTGTATTGTCGAGGCAAAAGCAGCAGCTGATTCGCGCACAGCTATGTCCCACAGCCATGGAGTGAATGAATATTTCCTTTATTTGGGAGATTTTATGAAACAAATTTCGGGGAACATTTGTGAAAATTCTCATCACTTCATCTCCTCGTTTGTACATTAGCTATTCTGTTTTGGTGAGTCTATAGGTCATGTGTCCATGGTCAGAGAAAGAATGGTGGGGGGTGGAAGAGAGACCAAGATGAATGAAGGGAGGATTTTGAAATGTGAAGAATAAGAAATAAGCAGATAGAGAGAATAGGTGGAAGGTTCAAAGAAAGCAGGAATAATAGAGCTTTGTGAACAAAGGAGGCTGGGATAAAGACTCCAAGAGAATGGATTAAAGTCAAAAAACGGAGGAGATCAACGACAAAAGAGGTTCCCAGAGAAACCAGAAATGAGCCCGGGTCTGAAGGAAGCCCAAATGCTGTGAATAAGTAAAAAAAAAAGTAGCAGTAAATTAATCATTCAACCTTGATACCATCTAAATATTTTATACATTCGCTCCACTTCCTAACCTAATTTTCACTTGCTCTACTCACCCCATACGCACACACAAACAGTGCATACAGTGTAGCCTGGCATCCGTGCATGATGATGTGTGCATGTGCATGGATGATGCGTGTGATGTGTGAGGCGTGATATGCGTGTGCATTTGTACATCTGGTGTGGGTGTGTATGAGAGGGGTGAGGAGGACGGGGAATGATTCAGTTCAGTAGCAAGCTCATGGTTATGTAACCTGCTCATGTTCACTGTTTAGGATGTTTGGATGGTTATTGGGAGGAGATGGGTACTGGCCCCGCATTCCTCACTCCTTTCAGAGAGGAGGGGGAGAAACCAGAAGGGGTGCTTGGTGGATTTTTTTTCTTGTTGCTACTTGCTACGCCTTTACAATGCTTGGTGGAACTGCAGTGCCAAGGCAAAGTGTTATTCAAGGCAGCAAACTATTTTGGCCCACAATGTGAAAGCTGAGCTGTGATGTTCCTGTTGCACATTAAGGATTTTTCTTCCTATTCTCAAGGGTTTATAAAGATTACAGGCAAACTGTACAGCAACGGAAATCATGAACCCACACATTCTCCGAGAGGACTTGAATACTGGTTACCAGATGCATGTAGTCGGCCTCTCTTCTCCTATCCCCTAATGTTAGAAGACAGTAATTCTCTGTATTTGGTAAAAGGGATGACTAATGGCAGTCAAATGGAATGATGGTGCTGTAAAGTTAGTTGGTGATTTAGCTTGTTCTGCCAGTTTTGAAGATTGTGCTTTTTTATCTTCGCATTTTTCCATATCCCTCATAGTTATAGACAAGTACTATGTCAACCTGACTCAGTTGGTAGCACCTTTGTCTCTGGGCCAGGACGTTGGAGACTCAAGCCTCATGTTGGGACTTTCAGCTCCCAGTCTAGGCTCATACTTCCAATGCAGTGCTGGGGGAAAGTTGCATTGTCAAAGGTGCCGTCCTTCAGATAAGATATCAAGAACTCAGGATTAGATCAGTCCCCTGGTTGACATTTTCTTAGTTCGTGGCTGATCTATAAGTTGTTAGCATTTGCCTGTCGTTTCTTCATACTTCCTGATATCCATACAAGCCAAGTATTTATCAACTTGGCACTTAAACATTCCCACGGAATCTGCATTAACAGTCCTTTGAGAACATGAATTCCACAATCCCACAACTATCCTAGTCAAGCCATGTCTTCCGTTTTCATTTCTAATGTATTAAACAGAAGTCTTGAGATCCCACAGCACTATTCAAAAAGAGAAGGGAGTTTCTTCCGATAGCCTGGCCAACAATCCCCTGGATAATATTGGTCATTTGTTTCATAGCTATTTGTTGTGCGCAAATAGGCTGCTGTGTTTGCCTACAAAATGCACAGACACAACGCTTTACAGTAAATCACGTGAGATGCTTTGATGCATTCTTGACATTGTAGGCACTATATCAAATGCACATCAATATCCCCTTTTCACATCTCAACTGATCCTGCTTCTACAGAACTTCGGGGCAGTGCATTCCACATTCTCCCAACCTGTGAGTGTGAGGATATGTCTTTGATCTAATTTCCAACTTTGCTGCAGGTGCTTTTGCTGCTGACTGACCTGCGGAATCACCCGGCTGCAGTCCTGATGGCAGAAAGTCACCCCTTGGTCATCAGTTCGGATGATCCCGCCATTTTTGGGGCTCGAGGTTTATCGTACGACTTCTATGAGGCTTTCATGGGAATCGGAGGATCAAAGGCTGACCTCATGACTCTGAAGCAGTTCGCCTTGAACTCCATCAAGTAAGGGTTGTTTATTTTCTGGTGTATTAGTTGATGTTGAAGTCTTTATAGGTTATTGTAAATTGTAACCATCTACATTACGGTTCATTTTGTTTTGAATTTTTTTGGTCAATCCCATGCAGAAGCCCATCACCATGCTTGAGCATATCCAAACCAAATTGAGAATTCCATGCATCCCACCTACACATGGAAATTCCACAGATGGTTATTGGAATGGAATGCACACTTTCTCCCTGGAGGGATGGATTCTGCTTACCTAACTCCGGAAATGCAGATTGGTCCAGATTGGACCAGCCTACCCGGTAGGCCTTTGCTTTAATAGGAGCTGAGTGGGAAGAATCTCTTCCCCCATTGACTGGTCTGCCCTTTCAAGTCCTGCCTGTGAGCCAGGCTGGCTTTGCTGTGGACCTGCCTGGCTCAGGAAGCAAATAAAACAGGAGGTGAAATAATAACAATAATACTTGCATTTGATATAGCATCTTTTCACGTGTTCGAGACGTCTCAAAGCACTTGTTATAACGTAATTGAATGTTATTTGGCTGAAATTTCACAATCATGTGTAACTTTTAATGGAATCCCAAGTCGCACACAGGGAGGTGCCTTCCGTGTATCGTGCCGATTTGTGGGAACTCCACTCTGAATTACAATCTGCAAGTGGAGTTCCTGCGGGATGGGATTCCTTATTAAGAAATCCCCCCAAATCCTCCACCGCAGCCAGTGCCCTCCGGAAAGGAGCAGCAATTATCTTCTTTTAAATGATGCAACCCGTACAAACGGTTCACTCACTCTCACTTCCTTTCAACTAGGTATTCACTTTTACAAAGAATTACTGTTACAACATGCAAATGGGAACACTCAGCCTAACTAGTCTGTGCCTGTGTTCATGCGCCTGAAGCCACATGAGCTTCCATCCCTCCAAATCCCTTCTCCCATTTCACTCGATTTTCATCTCCCTCATGCATGCATTTGGAGTTTCTCTTAAATACTTTGATGATTTCTGCTTCCACTACAGTTTCCGGCAGAATGTTCCACATTCTCGCCTACAAAATATCCAGTCGCTCCACTTTACAGTGTATTCTTTGAAGCGCTTTGAAACGTCTCAAAGGTGTGTTAGGCATTCTCTCAAATGCAAGGATTATTATTCTCACCACTCTCTGTAAAAAAGAGGGTGCTGCTAAACTTCCTTTTTGATCTGCTTGCAGCTACCTTATATTTATGCTCCTTGTTATTGACTCACCAACAAGTGCACCTCCTCCCCACCCACCACCCCATCAAAATCCACCTTGTTGAACCGTTTCATAATTTTAAGCACAAACAGGTATCTGAATGCTTATTAACTGTGTGTGTTTGCTGACTTTCCCAGATACAGCGCTATGTCTCCAGCCATGAAAGAAGAAACCACTCGAATCTGGCAGAAGAAGTGGGACAAGTTCTTGGATGAAGTTCTACATATGTTGAAGAGGGATGAGCTGTGAGGATCCCCCAGGGCTTTCACACATGGGAAACGCCAACTGCTTTCATTTGGCCTGAACTTTTATCTGCTTGAATTAGAAGCTTTGCTCCCCAATCTGGACTTTAACTTTAACAAGATGCACATCTGGATCTGAGCTCCACTTTGCTGGAAGCAAACTGATATTACCTCCAGGAGTAAAAGGGTTAGGAGCAGGCGACTAGTTTCATGCTCCTCACTCCTAATGCTGACTGAGCTGAGCTCCACACTTCTCTCTTATCTGGTGTTATCGGGTCAGGCGTATGACTTGAAATTTTTTTATGCACCATATGTAAATAAAAGGATAAAATGCAGCATGTGTAAGCACAAGCGTATAATGCATCATGTGAAGCACAACCAAAGGTTAGAAAGTAGCAGCATAGTTGGACAAGGCCATAAAGAGTGCAAATCGAGTTCAGAGGAATAGATTACAAAAGTAAGGAAGTAATGTTACATTTATATGGTTAGTCCTCATTTTGAGTACCTTACAGGATATTGTAACAATGGAGAGGGTTCCGCATGGATTTATGAGGGATGAGTGGATAGAGCAAACAAGAAAGATTGGCCAGGTTACAGTTTTTTCTCTGGCAATGAGACAATTGAGAGGGGACCTGTTAGAGGTGCTTACGATTATGAAAAGGTTCAGTAAGGTGGACATAAGTAGGTTGTTTCCTCTTGTTAGGGAGTCCATAACAAAGAGAACATAAATGTAACATTTTATAAGATTATAGTCAACAGATCTGAAAGGGAGTTTAGGCAGAACCTTTACACAAAGGCTGGTGAAAATATAGAACTCACTGTCAGAAACTGGCTGAAGCAGAAAGCGTTGATGAATTTAGGAGTAAACTCAATACATACATGAAGGAGAAGGGAAAGAGTGGTATAGGAGGCGGAAAGGGAAGTGGGACAAGGAGATGTGAATACTTGTGTGGAGTATAAACACCAGTGTGCGTTATTTGGGCTGAATAGCCTGTTTCAATGCTGTAAAATCTATGTAATTGTTTTATATACCTATGCGGTTTTAACTGATTATAATTCCAGCAGTACATGCTGGAGATCCCAAACTTTGGCTGTTTCCAGCCCTGTGCGTATTACTTTCTGGGTTTAGGTAAGCAGGATGTGTTCCTCCAGGGAGAGAGTGTGCATTCCTTTCCAATACATGCCATTTCCAAATCAATATATAGGTGGGATGGATGGAATTCTCAGTTTGGTTTGGATACTCTTAAGCATGGTGAGGGTTTCTGCATGTGTCGGACACCTGGCTGGCTCAAAAAAAAACTACTGAGGGAATTAAATCCTTTTCATTGGCTGTTAATATTTAAGGGACCCTGTAATTCCTTGGTACACATGGACTCTCACATTGTGCATAATACACTTGTGTTTACACATGCTCCACACGTGGTTTATACGTGGCGCAGAATACATCTCATTGTCTCATTAATGGCAATTTAAACAGTCCCTTTGAAGTTAAAGATACCCCTTTGTTCAGTGCTGTCAATGGGAGAACTTTTGGAGAAGGATTTGCTTTCATGTCCGGCTCCTTTACCCTGGTTTGTACAACATTTATGTGATGAATTGACTCAGAAGTAAATAAGTGATGTGTCCTCACAGTACAGACTTTGACTTTGTGCATATATATGTGTGTGTATCTATAGACAGTTCATAAAAGAGTTGTGCAGCACCTGTCCTCAACTATCAGCTTTATGAATAGAATAAATGTGAAGATAATGAAACACACCATTTAATGGGTTTCACAAATGACAGGAACAGGCTGGTCTGGGTTTCGTATGCCCACAGCCAATTCAAATGCGGAGAGTCTGGCAGGTTTACAGGGAGTGGGGGAATGTGAATTTGTGGTTGTGTACCAGACATTCTACAGTTTTAATGCAATCCCAGTTCTGCCTCAGTGGCAACCTGGTGTTCATTTTTTATGTGCTTTGTAAAGATGGTAACAATGTTTTGGCGACTCAGTGGCTCCCCCTGATGGCTCAATAGCAGATGTGTTGAAATTGATTCTGAGTCACCTCATCCGATGGAAAGGCAGTCATTCTTAGCCTTTGCAACAGTGAGGACACTGCAACTTCCCTGAGTCCTGAAGGGATGGGGGAGGGGGTGGGGAAAGGCAAGATTCATACATGTTATTACTTCTGATCACTATCCCGTTACCTCAACTGGAAAGAGTGCATCTGTGAATGTTGGGTGAGGATGAGATTGGGTTTGGCTCTGAGGTGGGAGTCCCCAGTGACAATGCTGAGGCTATCAGAGCTGATGTGAGGAACAAACACTTGGTCGGGCATCGGTGAACTGCATGACCTTGTGCACTCATGTTCATGTGAATCCCTGCCTCAAGAGAGGAGGAAAAGCCAGAGGGAAATCTTAGGATCTGTAGCATAATAATAATGCCTGCATTTCATATTGCACCAATAACATCACTAATATCAATAAGTGCTTCACAAAATTTCTATGAAGTGAATAGACTGTATTTTGTACTCAAACCTGGCACCCAATTTGTGCCACAATGTCACACAAATGACTATGAAGTGAATGACCAATTTTATCTGGGAGATTATTGGTTAGGACACTGTAAATGGAACCTCGGTTCAATGTCTCAGCCAAAGGACAGCACCAATGACCACAAATGCTTACCAGCACTGCCCTGGAGGGTCAGGCTAGACTATGTTGAGCTCAAAGTCCCGACTTGATATTTGGTCCCACAAGCTCTGGCTCAGAGGTTATGAGAGTGCTATCGACTGAGCAAGGGCAGGGAGAGTGGTGGCGAGAGAGGCAATGTGTGAGAATTGCAAAAGGATTTGCAATGGCCAGTCCTACTTGTATCTTCCAGTACTTCAAACCAACCTCGGACATTGATCCCTCACCAGTGGCCGCCTTTGGCCTCACTCCTGCTTCTTGAAAATTGAACATAAAGATCTGTGTTCCAGCGGGTTGGTTTGAGATTCCCGTGAGTACCTGCCGGATTCACTGTTAAGAAATCCTTTTGCAAATCTTAGGGTTTAGACCTTATTGAAAGTGGATGCAGATTGCCAGTGCGACCTGACCGGACAAATATCATCATACAGACAAATGTTCACCAGCCTATCAAGTCTTCCCCATCGCACAAAAGGCTTCTCCTTCGCTGAATACGCCCTTGTAGCTTGCGAACGCAAGTACTTTTGAACGAATAATCGTAACAACTGTAAAGCATTTATCAATGTCTTCCAGTTAAGCTGCTTCCTTAAACCCATTTAATTTTAAATATGGGTCAGAAACTTAACTGGATGCCATGTGTCAAATGTAATATAGACGTCAAATAAAAGCAGTCCAGATCCTTTTCATTTACTACACAAATATTTGCAGACGTGCATGTACATGACGGAGCATGGGTTCAGCTTTGTGGCAATTTGTATTCACACAGATTCGCTCCCATCTGCATGGGTATCCATTCATCCCAGCAGGGGAGTGAGTTATTCATTCAGCTGAGTGTGAGGAGGCTGATTAAACAACGCCTGAAAGGGAGAGCTCTGTAATAGAAGTAATGAAACATTGCTCAGATGGACAGATCCTTTTTTTTGGTCCTTTGTGCTCACAGATATGGTAATGGGACTGTTGACAAGGTGAAACGTTACTGCATGCTGATTAACGTGTGACGTGGTACAGAGATTGTGCAGGCCTGGCACCATTGACTGCAATGTTGGGGGGCACTAACATATGACCAGTTGGTTTAAATGCCTTCTGATGCCTCACTCTGCACATTGTTAGTATGACAATTTTGACTTAACTGAATATTGCCTCTCTGCCTGATCACACTTAACTCTCCTTTTCCTCTATGAGGTCTTTTTGATGTGTTTGGGTGTGATGGCAGGATGGTGGTGCAGGAGTAATCACAATTTTTCTTTTATCGTATTTTTGCTAAATTTCCTTTAAACACACGGCACTAAATCCTACAAAGTCTTCAAAGCCTTTGAGTTATTGCTGCCTGAAGGGCCACTGCTTGCTGCTGGGCTCCTGAGTGTTTTGCTCAGCGTGCCTCATAGGGGACCTGATAGAGGTGTTTAACATTATAAAAAGGTTCGATAAGGTTAGCATAAATAAATAGTTCCCACTGATTGAGAACTACAAAACCAGAGCCACAAGTATAAGATCTAAAGGGGATCTAAAAAGACAACTTAAGAGGAACTATTTCACTCAGAGGGTAGTGAGATTGTGGAACCCAAATTGGTGGTTGAAACAGATAGTATAGTTGCATTTAGAGAGAAAGGAATAAAAGACTACGGAAGGGACTGAGTAATGGATGGAGACTTGTGTGGAGTATAAAGAGCGGCATGGATTAGTTGGGCCATTGACCTGTTTCTGTGCTATACATTCATGGTAATCTTTTGCTGTAATGTTGTTTGTTTTGCTGAACTTGTTGAAAGACCCGACAAGCGAGACTCTGTGCGACTGCAAAGTTGCCTTTAATTGTTCTGTTGTTTTTGTAACCGGAGTCGTTCTGAGACCTTGAAATAAATTTTCCGATACTATTTGATGAAAACCTTTTTTCATTGTGCGGACTTTGAGTCTCTTTTTTGTAGATATTATATGTAAAGTACAGGTAGGTCTTTATACGAGCAGAGATAATAGCTCATTAAAACTTCCCACAAAGAATTCGACAAATGGAATGTACCATGGCAGCTATTGAATAAGTTTGCTGCCTTACAAAGCAGGAAGGTCCACAGTTCAATGCTTTGGACTGTGCTGAGTTGGCCAAACTCAATCTCTATGGGATGAAGTCAGGCCTCTGCAGTTGACTTTCATGTCCCTGGGCTAGGATCCTCAGCATTGTTCTCGAGCCAGAATCCTTAGCACTGGCTCCGCAGAGGCTATAATCCTCAGCACTGTCCAGTCTCAAAACTTGCACCTGAGGAAGGTTCATTTACCTATGGAACCACATCCCCCCCTCCCCCCCACCCCCCTCCAGAGATGTCATCTTTAAGTGAGGAGAAAGCAGCAAAAAGCTGCACAAAAGACACATCAATCAAGAAATATTTGTGTAAAACATTTGATAATATTAGCCATGCTTATTGATATTAAAATAGCTCTCTCAGGAGAGATTAGCTGCTGTGATTTTAAGTATCCGTATGAGCGAGGCAACTTTCATCCCACATGAAGGCACTGTTCATCAGAGCTAAAATTGAACTTGGCTCCTGTGTCCAAAGTTTAGTTGAAATGCCTTGAGATCCCTCATTCTCACCGACAATCAGCAAGTTCTGCGCTTTGTTAATATCAATAAGCATTGCTCATGATTTGATGTTTCTTTTGTGCGGCTTTCTGTTATCTGCATCCCTTCAGGCGCTAGGAATCAGAGTAAATTTGGAGCAGTTGACTGCAAATAAGTTGCTCATTATTCTTGTCTTCTCACTTTTGTTCTCGTAAAAATGTATCTTGTTTCCTGTAAACATTTGGTATTATGGGTTTCCTGTCGTCTAGAAAGGTTTGATTTACCAAGGCACATTTCATTTCAGAAGACAGAATGGGTTCAGTTGTAGGCCCGTTTATGAAGATCTACTGAAGTATACTGAAGTAAAAAGACTTTGCATTATATCTTGTATTTCTATATATGATTCTATATACAATACAAAATTATATTTGTAAAGCGCCATTCAAGTCGGGAGGACGTCCCTAGGCGCTGAAACAGTCAGGGATTAGGATCCAAGTGGGGGGTTGGGGTGTGGTGCTTGGAATCAGGGTTGGAGAGGTAGGAGTGGGCAAGGCCATGCAGGGTCTTGAAGGTAAGGATGAGAATTTTGAACTCGATCCTCTGAGGGATGGGGTGCCAGTGGAGTTGGGCCAGGGTGGGTGTGATGGGGTCACAGAGCCTGGTGCGCGAGAGTACACGAGCTGCAGAGTTCTGGAAGATTTGCAGCTTGTGGAGGGAAGACTTGGGAAGGCCGACAAGAAGGGCGTTGTCATGGTCGAGCCAGGTTGTAATGAAGGCATATATGACTATGGTTCACACAACACAGTGCTGCAGACTGAGACTCCCAGGCTTTCTCTGAGCGCTCGAAGATGCTACCCTGCGTGAAGGGTGCTATATAAATGTAAGTTGTGGTTGTTGTTTCTCCATGTGCCAAGCAAAGCCACTGGGTGCTTCACTCAGGGATGAAATTGCTGTGGAGGTTAAAGGTTCGATTTCTGGACAAAACAGGAATTCAGTGTCAGAACTTCAGATTACAGTAAACTTTCCTCCTCTAGAACCATTTCAGAGAGATGTAGAGATGAGAAGATGCTTCACCTGGTTTTGTGCACTGTGCTGATGTGACTGTGTCCATTGCCCAATGTCAATAATTCACAACAAGAAAAAAACACTGTACTTCCTGGCGTGTGCAAGTACATATTAAACAATAATAATCCTTGTATTTGATATACCACCTGATGATGCTATCAAGATGTCGCAAAGCCCTTCACAAGATTTTACACAATCACTGCACTGAGGAAGTGGGATCTTTAATATCCACCGGAACAGGCAGATGTATTGCTTCATCCAATGGATGACACCTTCGACAGTCCAGGACATCCCCAACATGTACTAGACTGTGAGTTTAAAGTTCCAACGTGGGACTTGAACTCATAACTTTCAGACTCAGAGCGAGATTGTTATCAACTGAGTCAGGCTGACACCTAAATAATTGAATCTATTGGTTAAATTATTGTAAAGATGCCAGTCAGGCACTCTCATTGTCTGTTTTTAATCAAGATG